AAATCTATTCTCATCTTTCAAAAATTACATTTAAAGAAAAAAAAAACCAAAATACTAATAAAGCCTACACAGCATTTTCCAGCCCTCCACTCCATAAGCCCACAATTCTACACATAGGATTAGACTCCCACTTCTAATCTCACGCACTGTTCCGCAGCCTGTTTTTCTTTAAACCCTACACTCATGGTACTTGCCAGACAGCGTTCCATCAGCACTGGCACTAGCGTGATAATCCCAGCAACAGACAAACTTGCTAAAACTGTTCCCGAATATAAGCTGCAAACCACTACTGAGGCAGCAGAGCACTGAGGGGGTGTCTGCCTCTTACCATATAAATTCCTCCCAGTTTTGACTCCTGCAACAAGCACAGCTGCTCCACATGAAGACTCCCATCCCTGCCCCAACCTGCATCAGTGGTGGTCACACAGGTGGCATCCACAAACAAAAGCTCAAGACTACCCATTTCTGGCCTACCCTAAATCAGACAAACATTTCACTTAAGCTTCTCCAGCTGCAGCTATCTGAGGAGCAAAGCAGAACATTAATCTAGCTGGCCCAGACCAGCTTTCAGATGTATTTTCCTTCATCCTTCAGTATTTACAGCCTCAGCTAGTAACACTCCTACACCAGCAATTTTTATCCTGTCATTCACACTGCTCTGGTGGGCAGGGAGAGGGATCACAAACAATTTGGGAGAGATCCACGAAAGGCACCTATGGCACACCATGAGCAACCTGCATATGGATCCATAAAAAATATCATGTAAGTTCCTTGAGATTTGTAGGGGAGGCTTCAAGAGGCAAAAATAAATATAATATTTAAATGTCATTACAGAAATCACTGATTTAAGACTCAAAAAAATCCAAGTTATTTTACCAGCTCTGATCCCCCCAGCACAGTGATACACAGCGCTGACTGTTCTGTGCCTCAGTTTCTCCACCTGTAAAATACAGGGGAAATTATTGCCTTTTTTTTTTTTTTTAAAGATTTAAGACCTACCTGGAAATAAATATTATTTAAAAGCTTTGCGCTGCTACTGTTCTGCCTCTTAGGTTTGCCTCCATAAACCTCTGCTCGCTACATCAAGTACTGAGACCTTTAATTACTGAGTCTGCTGTAATCAAACTCTGGGATTCAGCATCACATGCCACAGGTCTACAAACCATCCTCCTGTTTGACTATATATAAATAATAGTTGAGTTGCTTTGGTGTTTACACATGAAAAGCTGAGGGGGATGGGGGGAGGGGCTGAACACCACAATATACTGTAAGCATTGATGTAGCTAGTGACAGTTACGTCTTCCAAGTCATGTTTGCAAACATTTGACATGCAAATTCCATCTCCCAGAAAATGGGATCACATAAAACCAGAGAAGGAACAGAATACAAAAGAGCATTAGTCAAAGCAGCAAGGTAAGCCATGCTACCATTAAAACAAAGCCTTCCTAGCAGAACTACCTGGTCAACACAGGGACACAAAGAGAAACTTTCATATAACCTGCATGGTCAAAGAACTATTTCCACTGCTCCCAGCTGTTAGGCTGAGTTTGGTAAAGATATAAACCCTGCACATCTTCAAGGGTGCTCTGACAGTTCAAACCTTGAAGGATGTGGTTTCTTCAAGTAAATTTGCTGGTTTGTTATTAATCATACATAAGGTCTTGTGTAAGGACCAATAAGCCTTTGTGCGACCCACTGTCCAAACAAATTCGTTAACATTACCCCAATGCCAGCAAGCTTACAATCGCTGCTTTAATAATTATACGTGTATTTCATGTCTCAGACATGATCCTCCCGTGTTACATGACCTAGCCTTCACAAGCCTTCATTTTAAAAGCTTCATCTGTATTCCTACTGCTTCCTGGAGGAATCCCATGGAAGAGCTTTTGTGTATGCTTAGCAATTTTAAAAACACATGACTTCATCAGAAGCAGAGTCAGTTCTGCTCTGTAGAAGCATGACACAAAACCAGTTAAAAATCAGTGGGAGCTTCCCATTAGGTAGCCTGGGCCTTGAAAAGCCCTTATACCTCCCTGATGAATCATTTAATGTTGCGCACTAATTTGTAGAGAAAACGAATCCTCCTGCCACTCTCCATCCCTTGTACTATATTTCTTCAATTTCTACCTTCCTGGAAGCTTCTGTTGCTTTTAAAATATACATGTAAAAATCTGGTTTGACCTCATTCTCCCTAACATCACAGAAATCAAAGGAACTGGATAGGCTAAAAGCACCAATCAGGACAGCATCCCTCCTCTACCCACTGCCTCAGCTGCTGCTTCCCACAGTGTAAGCAGCTCATTCCCAGGCTTGCTCAAACATGCATGGTTTCAATGTAGAAAGCTCTAGCTGAGCCTCTCAGAGGAAAGAGGACACAGGTCACAAGTTGCCTCAGCTATAAGAAGCCCAACTCACAGGTATCAGTTGCTCTGCAGGGACTCTCTGGCCAAGTTTGCTGGGTGTACATCTACACAAAGGCAAACCCAGCAGGACTCTTTCAGACAGAAATACGCATCCTTAGCAAGACACTGAACAAATAGAGGATAAAGAAGAAGTGCACCAAGAAAAAAAACTTTTAAAACAGTGAGACTACAACTCCCATCGTAAACATTTAGGTTAACTTTGGCATGCTGAGCAAGGTCTACAGAGGTACAATGTCCTAGCTTTAGAAATAACACAGCTGTGCCATACCTCCCACAGCTGTGAACAGGGGTACAAAGGTGCTGAGGTTGTTCTAACTAGGCTCTTCACAGGGAAACAATTAGAAAAAAAACTACTATTTGAAAAGCAGCAGGCCAGTTACACTCTTCTCAGGGAATGTTTGCAGTCAAGTCTCACATTTGTTTTCATCCCACAGCAGAATACTTAAAGTTTCAAACACTTCATTTAGTACAGAAATTAGAAGCCAACTTCTTTCAAATGCATAATAGCCTGAAGGCTTCCACCTGGCCACAGCATTGCAAAACCTACCACATTATATGAAACCCACTCTAGCCTTAGGCAAAAGGGGTTAGTACCTGGGCAGCATGGTGTTACCTCTGAATATCATCCCCCCCACAAGTGATTAGTTTTTAGGGTCAGCCTATTTGAAGTATAAGGCATTAACATCACCCTAGAAAAACACCATTCTGATCATGGCCCTTCCTTGCCCTGAACCAGACCCTTGGAAAGCTATGTTGATTAAAGTCAGGATCTGACCTGCATGCACATCTGCCTTCTCCTCAAACCACCACCTGCCTAGGAATTCTGTATGTGTAGTCCACCAACAAAGACACCAAGCTAAGCCACACAGCTCAGTCAACCAGACAGGTCCTCTTGGCATTAATGAGAACTGCTTTCACATACAAACGCCTTGAGGATGAAATCCTAATGGTAACTTGTGAGCGAAGTAACTATTATAGACTGCTTAGAACTATATGTAAATCTTCAATTTAAAAAACAAATTACTGGAGTGCAAAATGTTATCTTTTTGCTGCCAGAGAAAGAGAAGCAAGAAAGAAGAACGCAAAATTGCTCCACACTTGCATTTTACTCATTTTGATCATTTCCACTTCACGGTAAATCAATTTGTGCTGCTCCCATGGGGGTTTGGGAGCCCACATTTCCTTTCATCTAGCAACCAAATTCTTATCTAACTGTCCTGTACCGCCATCTCTTTCTGAAGCAGTGCTCCTCGGGGATGGCTTTAGGATTCTTAGGCTGTCGCTATCTAGCACAAGAGGTTTGGTTTAGTTTTTTTTTAATATCTCTTTGAAGGATTAACACTGAATGCTTTACACACAGCACCAATATAAATTCCATCTTTACAACAACCCCAATGAGTTAAACCCAGGCGGCCAAACCTTCTTATTCAGCAAGCTTTCACCAACGGTTGGTAGGAAGCCAGAAACAGGAAAGGGGTATCTGCATTAGTAGCAAAACGACAACTGAGCGTACTAAACCAATGCAAGTTCTACACAGCAATTAACAGGATCAGCGGCACCATGCTGCTAGTAACATTTACAGGACTGCCAACAGAAAACTAGGGAAAAAAATACAGAAATTGAAAAATGCTTTTAAAAAACACATTGTTCTATATTAATTTATATTGAAAAAGGCAAGAAATTGATAGTTCATTACTGCTGAATTACAGCACAAAGATGACAAAATAAATACTACGGAAACCTAAGGCTAATGCCACACCAAAGACCTTACGAAGTGTTTCTTAGTTAGACATTTGCTGATTTTTCCAATAAAAGAGGTATTGTTTTTCTTAGAGGTTTCTCTGTTGCTCCCCATTCACTTGCTTCATAGTGTATGCTGTCCCATTTATAGATACAAGCACATACTGCTTCATTAATGTAGAGAAATCCTTGATTAGGGAAAAGACTTGTAAAGAAAAGGAAAATCCATTCCAACCAGGAAAGCTTAATCAAGTACTGGAAAGCTGTCAGCCAGGCACAGAAATAAAGGTGAGCTTGGTCTTTAGAGGAATGTAGCATGCTGCAAAATTCGGCACTAACTCGTGCTGTGTGGCACAGAAATAGCTGTATTTGGGAGTTATCTGCCAAACTTTCTTAGGACCCACTCTCATGGCAAAGGCCATTTATTTATTCTTTTTTTTCCAACAGGTACTTTAAACACCCACTCTCATGTACCTCAGGTTAAAACCTTTCTTACTTTGACTGGCACAACACATTACAAGGAAGTTTCCTTAAGACACAGCAAGAAGTCAGTGAAGAGGCTCCCAGAGAGACTGCAGAACCAAAGCCTCTGAAGGGGCAGCTGGTAACATCCCTGAGGTAAAACAGACCCCAAGCCCCAACCCTCACCGCCTACCTTCTCACAGCCTGAGGAGAGCACCAGGGCTGACACACGTCTCGAGACACTGGCACTCCTGATACGGTTATAAGCACACTGAGCTGCCCAAAAGGTTTTCCGACTTCAGAAACAACAACTGCAATATGATGGAGGTGAAAGCACTCAAACCACAAACGCAACACCCTGGAGACTGGTCTCACCTGCGAGCCGTTTCAGCAATAGCATTCAGCACTGCCCTCGCCACAGAAGTCACCTGTAACTCCCAGTGCTTGGGGCTTCGTGAGGTAATTTAACAAGAAATAACTGCTAACTCGTCTTTTCGTCACAGCACATCTCCCCGCAGCAGCAGCAGCTACCGGTCCTCCCCGCCGGCGCCCCCCACCTCAGGGCGCTGTAGAATCGAGACCGTGTGGGGCGAAGAGCTGAGAGAAGTAGACAAAATGGCGCCCCCATGCATCAGGAGAGGACATAAACCTCACCACCCGCCATTTTACCTCAGGTATGAAGAAAGGCTTCAGCTGAGGAGGCCACCTCTTCCACTTCTCGCTAATTAAAGCACCAAATCCTTTAAATGAGTGTTTCTGCTCCTTTCTGGAAGTTCCTTAAACAGGTGGATTGTTTTGTTTCCTGTCATGTTAGTTGAGGCACAGCAACAGATGTTGGAATGTAATACTAGTATACTTCAGAAGGTGAGTCAGCTTTTAGTACTAGCTAAGGCAATGCAAGTTTTTATCTAGAAAGCCATCGTTAGTACAAGATGATACTAATTATATAGATCGGTGTGTTGACTTTTGTTTTTCTTAATGCACTTGGTGATATTGTGTTGAACTCTATTCTTGTTTCAATAACCCAAATAAAATGGTTGTCAGGGGAGGGAGAGAGGGAAAAGGTATAAGGGTGCTGTTGTTAGACAGGAGTTTGCAAGCATGAGATTAAAGCCTCGTTCAGTAAGATGCCAAAGGCAAACAAATTCCCTTAGCTCTCTCTGCCTGTGCTTAGGCTCGGTTTGCAGGAGTGGGGCTCAGGGAGCTGTAGGTAGTAAGAAATGCTGAGCTTGCTGCTTGTGATCAGAAAGGTTCTGTCACTGGATCAAAATGGTTCACAGGTAAGACTAATTTGTGGTAGTTTTAGGCCAAATTCATTCAGCCCAAGGGACTTTAAATTTTCTTTTAGTAGTATTATTCAGTGAAATAGCTCAGGCATTTTCTGAAGTAAACAACTCGCTTGATACTGCTTGGATGCAAATGAGAAAGAAATTGGCTAGGGCTAATACTGTTTTTTCCTCTCCAGTTTTGTTACTTGAAATCCAATTATGTATGAAAATCTCAGATGCTGGATTTAAAAAACCTAAATCCTGTATTGCAGGCAGTGAATGACACCAACCAGTGCTGCTGTTTGTAGTGCAACATTTTCTTTTCATGTGTGATTGCTGCTGGCCCTGACAGAACTCATACGCTTGACAGTGAGCACTACGCTCAGGTCTAGAGCTTGCAAAGAAATCCTTCAGCACCACACAGGCTGGTTTTGCTGTGGGTAGAAGCTAAAAGTGGGCTGTTCCTTTCACCATGGCCAATAGTAATCTTGTGCACAGAGGAAATACACTAAATAGTGGTGGTATTTTTCTGGTGTTTTTCCATGGTAAGTACTAGGGAGAAGCAAAACTAAGCATGGCACCCACAGTTACTCCAGAACTCCTGTGATTGCTTTATGTGTAATTTTTTTTATTATCATTTTTCTGTGGTGCAGTCTCCTGTGCCAATCACCTCATCTTATTCAAGAGGGAAAACATACCTGTCTATTTTTGTAATCCTTACTGCCATTTGCACAGCCCTGGAAGGGATTTCTGTAAATTGCCCCTTAGGTATTATCATCTCACCAGGCATTAGACGTATTTTTCTGCTCTAAAAGGCAAAAATAAAAGTTAAAATAAATGTGTGGTCTACAGAAGTAGACACCACCAAAAAAAAAAATTGTTTGTTTAGTAGTTCAGTTATTTTGGGAACACTTACATAATGGGGAAGGAGATGCTGTGAAAATTACCTATTTCTCCAGTTGAGAACTCTACTCCTATGTAAATTCTCTAATGTGCTGATTTTTTTCCACGCCTACCATGACTACTGCAGTCTCTAGGCAGAAAATGGTGAACTGTGAATGACTTTCCGCCCCTTTAGGGATTCTGGCAAGTCTGAGTAATGATTGCTTCCATTCTGAAAACAGCTGCAGCAAGAAATGTATTGGATTGCTGAAGATTTTCCTGACTAATAATCTCTCAGTAGCTCTTCTTTGTATGGCAGAGTGATGTTGTCATTTGTGTAGTATAAAATGTTCTAGAGCTTGATTGCCCAGTGAAGACATAAAGCAGGGTAGATTTTTATTGTCTGCATATGAAATACCTGTATTTAACCTATGGAATTTAAAAGATAGTCCTGGAATTTCATACCAGCTATTAAAATAATAACTTTTAGTGGGAAGCAATGCAAATAAGTGCTCTTTGCATTGGTTGGCAACTTGCTAATTTGCTCTAAACCAAGCACTAATATTTCACTGTATTGGTGGAACTCGGGGAAAATGTCTTTTTGAAGCTGGGAGAAGACACTATCAGGAGCAGGCCAGTCCCCATTCTTTGTCTTCCTAATGAGCTGTCTGTAAACCAGTTAAACTGTGCAGCTGCTTTATAAGAGTGTTAGGAAAGGCTCCTGCATTATGTGCTCAACCTAAGATCAGAGTGTTAAACTCTGTTTTCAGGCATGCTTTAGAAAGAAGCTCCATAGTAATTATTAGTAAGTTCAACACAGCATGAGAACAATTCTCCTATTAAGAAAAGTGGTGGTATTTGTATAAAGTTGCCATGAGTTTGTCATCCTTATATTTGTATAAAGTTGCCATGTTTTTGTCATCCTTAGACATCCTTAGGCTAGGGTGATACTCTTCTCAAGGGATAGTCCTAGTGGCATCAATAACATAGGTGAAATCCTGATTATCTTGATTATCAGTAGAGGAATCTGAACTTTTGTTTGAATTAGTGTTCTGCTCTCATCCATGTTGAGTAGTAAAACTTTAACCCTCTTTTCTATGCGTTATTTAGCCATTAAAAGTTAGAAGTGGCATATACAGACTAGGAAAGAACTTGCAGGGTCATCTAATCTGTCATCATCTTCCAGAGAAGAATCATTGCTATTCTAATCACAAAACATGGAACATGATCCAGGTTCTGCAAATCTCTTCTGCAGTCTGAAGATGGATATCAATCTGAGAGAATTCTTTTGAGATTATTGGGGTACTTCTGGTTATGAATTCCATCTTTTTTGCCCCAGTTTACTGTCACATGTACCATGTCAATCACTTTGTGTTTCTTAAAAGTACCCTTGCTATTCTGAGTCAAAGCTGTGAATCTCTGGCAAGCAGCTACCTGCTGATTCAGTGAACTGGAAGTAAGAAGACTGCTTACCAGTATGAGTAGAGGGTTTGCAGTGTGGACATTCTACAAGTTGCACTGTTTGACCTTCAGCTTGGGTGGTCTGACCAATCTGCCTGACTCCTGTTGAGTGGGGGGGAGTCCTGCAGTGCAGGATCATGCATATGTTTATCCCTGGAAGCTAGGGAGTACATTAGTGAAACTGCATGCACAGCATTGGCTAATGGTGCCACTTCTGCTGGTTATGGAGTCAATGACTCGAGAGGGATTATGTTTGTTGACAGAGAGCACATCTGGCTGCCATACAGCCATGCGCTCCAGAGGTCTAATTCTGTCCTGATTTACTCCCCATCCGGTTCATGGCTGTAACTCTTCCAAATGTGCCACATGTTGATAAATATAATTCTTTTATCAGTGACTAAATCCGAACAGAACTTGGTCTTCTGTTTGTGTCTGTAGATTTTAATTTAATTTTAGTGATACATTTGGATTTAGGAGGCTGAATATAAGTACTTGATGTATGACTAGATCTGCAATGTCAGTGCTTCGTGACCAGCATATGTAACTGTTAGAATAAGGCTTTCCAAGCCCCTTGCTTTATTTAAAGGAGTGGGGTTTTTTCTCCTAAAGTCTAATTTCTGGGATAGAACAGTTGTACTGTAAATGTGTGTGTGTATAAAGAATGATAATACTGATAACCTTTTGGCCACCCAAAGTCTTCATGCTTTTCCTAGTTGTCAAATGTCAGCATTGCTCAGTGTTACAGCACATACAGATCTGGAGCCTGGAACTTTCTCTCCTTTGCAGACAGGGCTTTTTGGAAGGTTTTCTAGTATCTGTACTTGTTCTCTGGGGCAGTGCTACCTGTGTGGAACTTGCTTATGCATCTGAGAGAGGGCAGCAGCACAAACTGTATTTGAACTAAAAGTCACAGAGCGATAGTAGTTAAAACATGCATAAATCCCCTTTTCCACCCTCAGATGTCTCAGGTAAGTATGGGTGGTTCTAGTTCTATTTTAATAAAGAATTAATTAGGGTCATTATTCATTCTAGTTTTATATTTATGCTAAAGTTGTTTATTCTTTTTATGGGTGCTCATCCAAGGTAAAGGAAATGTGTCTAGCACATATGAAAGGAGCTACAATTAAAGTTGCGTATCTACTTTTTACCATGCTATGGGTGATTTGCCTTTGCTTTCTTAATCAATTTAGAGTATTTATTCTCAATGAAATTTTTGTTAGATTTTGTTCTCTATGTATGAGTTCACATCTTCCATCCCACCACTGTTAGGCCAGGAAGATCCGATTCACTTCTTCCAGGACAGTGAGAGTTCTTTAAGCTAAATGCAGAAAATGTAGTGGCTGTTGAATTTAGCAAAAAATATTTTGGTAAATATATTCTACTTGCTTACAGGCTTTCTATGGCAGTGTTACTTCTGCACCCTTTTTTGCCCTTTGGTGAAGTAGAGCAGTGTAGCTATCCTTTGTACAGATGGGGAAGGTATTTTTATCAAACTGATGCATTTAATTGCATTTCGGGCTTCCCTGCTCATTGATGTACTTTTAATCTTTCATACTGTGTTGTGATAGAATTCCTATTTACTTCACTTTAGTAACTACAGGGTGCTTTGTGGACTAATTGCACACAGAGTTAGGTAGCTTGCATGTTCGCTGCTCTTCTGAGTGTGTGTCATCAATGTAGAATAAATTTAATGAACTGATCTAGTAGGCATGATCCAAAAGAATTAGAATGAAACTTGGAATCATATACTTCTGAGTTTGTATTTAGGTGATGACAGTGATTAACTTGCCTACTCCTTTTCTGCCTGTAAACCAGGGCTGATTATAGTTATACCTTTCTATTGAAAGCTTTGAGTCTCTTTATTGCTACTCAGAACATGGCAGCTGGTCAGATGGGTGCTGCATCATTAATTCTGTAATTGTAGCTTGCTTTATAATTTCATAGGGATCCCAAATTTGGTAAATCGCCTTTTCTTTCTCATGGGGAATATTCCAGTAAGTCTGCAATGTTTGTTTTCTGTTTCTTTTTTCATTTGATTTGGGTTTTT